CCAGGAAGATCGATAACAGAAGCAATCTATTTGCTAAGGGGTTTAATAAAAAAAGTACCGAAACCATAAAAGAGACTTGCATATGATTTTTATTGATTTGGAAACTTACGATTGGGTGCCTATAGAAGTGCTTTGGAGAGCCTTGGAAAAGAAAGGGGTGTGTGTTGCTTATATTAAAATCATACAAGACATGTATGAGAGGGTCACAACTAGTGTTAGAACACCAGGTGATGAGACAAAGGACTTCCCTATAAGAATTAACCTATATCAGGGATAATCTTTAAACACTTATCTGTTTAACCTAGTCTTCAATGTTCTAACTGAACATATCAAAGAAGAAATTCCGAAGTACATGCTTTTTGCTGATGATATAATTCCATTAGCTGAGTCAAAAAAAGAGATTATTAATAAACTTGAGACATGGAGAAGAACCTTGGAATCAAACGGTTTCAATTTAAGTAGAAGCAAGACGGAATATATACATTACAGTTTTGATAAGAGACAAATTAGTACAGGGTCAGAGGTCAGATTGGGAGACCAGGTTATTCAACAAGTGGAAAGGTTCAAATATTTGGGATCAATTATAAAAAAAGATGGGAAAATTGATGGAGATGTTAATCATAGAATTCAAGTGGGGTGGTTTAAATGGGAAAAAACAATAGGAGTTATCTGTGATCGGAAAGTACTAAATAAGGTCAAAGAGAAGTTTTACAGCACTACTATAAGACTAGCAATGCTATATGGCAGTGAATGTTGGGCTTTGAAGGGACAACATGAACATAAAGTGACAGTTGCTGAGATGAAAATGTTAAGATGGATGTATGGTCATACAGGAAAAGACAAGATCCGTAATGAACATATAAGAGAAAAAGTTGGAATGACTGCTATTGAGGAGAAAATGATAGAAAACCGATTGAGATGGTTTGATCACGTACAAAGAACGCTTTGGGACACGCCGGTAAGAAGAGTTAAGCAAACAATATGGAGTCCTCTAAAAAAGAATAAAGAAAGGTCGAAAACAACGCTTAGTGAAGTTATTGAGAGAGATATGTCAATTAACAATCTATCCAAAGATTTGGCTTTGGATAGGACTTTATAGCATCGTGTGATCCATGTAGCCGACACCACCTAGTGGGATAAGGCTTTGTTGTTGTTGTTGTTGACTTCTGAATTAATAATAAAAAGAAACTAAACCAAAAAAAACTGAAGTTAATAGAACAATTATGTATATCTTATATTATTGAATGAGAAGGAATACATCATATATATATAACCGAACAAGGAAGACTAAAGATAAGATACTGTTATCTATCCCTATCTAATCTAAGACGGAAAGATAAATGAGTAACTGAAAAAAAACTACTTAATAAGTAAAACTAAGTTTATTTGGCTTGGGCCTTGGGCTTTGTCTTTCAACACTCCCCCTCAAGCTGGAGAATAAATGTTGACCATTCCTAGCTTGCTTTTTAGTCCTTCAAATGAATCTCTTGGTAATGGCTTAGTAAGTAAATCTGCTACTTGACTTTTGGTTCTGATGTAGGACAATTTGATAGTGCCTTCTTCAATTTTCTCCCTGATGAAGTGTATATCAATTTCAACATGTTTTGTCCTGTCATGATGAACAGGGTTTCTAGCCATTTCTATAGCTGACTTATTATCACACCATAGTTTCATTGGTGCATTGTGCAAAAGTCTCAGTTCTTTTAGAACTCTGATTATCCAGATCCCTTCACAGACTCCGAGAGCCAAGGCTCTTAGTTCTGCTTCAGCACTGCTCCTAGAGACCACAGGTTGCTTCTTACTTCGCCAAGTCACTAGGTTGCCCCACAAGAAAGTAGTATACCCTGTGGTGGATCTTCTATCCAACCACGATCTTCCATGGTCTGCATCAGTATAAATTTCTATACTTCTAGACCCATCCTTTCCAAAAAACAATCCCTTTCCTGGATTCATTTTTAAGTAGTGCAGAATTCTCTGGACAGCTCCCATATGATGCTCTTAGGGTTTATTCATGAATTGACTTACTACCCCTATAGCATAACTTATATCTGGACGAGTATGAGCTAAGTAGATAAGTTTTCCTACTAGCCTTCGATACCTTCCTGTGTCGACAGGTATACCATCCGCTTTGTATTCTAAGTTGCAGTCAGCCTCCATGGGAGTTTCTGCAGGTTTGGCTCCAAGCATCCCAGTCTCTTGCAGTAAATCAAGAGTATACTTCCTTTGGGAGACACTAATTCCCCTTTTAGATCTAGCGATCTCCATCCCGAGAAAATATCTTAGTTGTCCAAGATCCTTCATCTCAAACTCAGTTGCCAAGGATTTCTTCAATCTTCTTATGGCATCCTCGTCATTTCCTGTAATTACAATATCATCCACATATACTATAAGGACAGTTATTCGGTTGCCTGCATGCCTTATGAACAGGGTATGATCTGATTGGCCTTGTGAGTATCCCATTTTTTTCATGGTACGAGAAAATCTCCCGAACCAAGCTCGAGGGGATTGTTTCAGCCCATACAACGACTTCTGCTTTGGAGAATTATTACTGGAATTCTGTAATCCAGCTGACATCTCCATATATACTTCCTCTTCGAGATCCCCATTTAGAAAAGCGTTTTTTTACATCTAGCTGGTAGAGAGGCCACTCTAGATTTGCTGCTACTGATAGGAGAACCTTAATGGTGTTAAGTTTTGCTACTGGGGCAAAGGTTTCCTAATAGTCAATTCCGTAGGACTGTGTATATCCCCGGGCTACAAGCCTGGCCTTATACTTACTTATGCTTCCATCTGGATTGTATTTTATGGTAAACACCCATCTGCAACCCACTATCTTCTTTCCTGGGGGTAGATCAGTGATTTCCCATGTTCTGTTTTTCTTCAATGCTTCCAATTCTTCTTTAACAGCCTGCTTCCAATTTGGGTTCTCGATTGCCTCATGGAATGTCCTTAGTATCCTCTCATTTGAGAGATTTGTAGTAAATGCCTGCATTTTCGGTGATAATTTATCATATGAAACAAATTTACTAATTGGATGCTGAGTACAAGATCTCACACCTTTTCTGAGAGCCAACCGAGATCATCAGGATTTAACATTGAGTCAGAGTCCTGGTCATGCCTTGGAATGGGAGGGACTCCAGTTTCTTGTTGCTCGTCTACATCATCTGACTCGGCGTTTTGTTGCTGGTCCACCCCTATGTCATTTTCCGCACTGGTTCCCAAGTTGGTGTGGTTAGGTTGAGAGTTTTGGTGTTGTGGGATTGTTGGTTCGAGGTTGTCTATTAGCTCAGGTTCAGGGACAATAGGTGAATTAGTAGGGATGTCGATGTTTAGGTGTGTTGAATCTAGAGTTAGCCATTCGTTAATGTCATAATTCTCCCCCTGAATGGGTATTTTGGGATAATAAGCATCGGCCTCAGAAAAAACAGCATCTTTAGTGACATAGACCCTTTTTGTTGTCGGGTGGTAACATCGATATCCTTTTTGAGATGGGGAATAACCAAGGAAGATACATTTTAATGCTCGGGGCTCAAGCTTGTTACCATCATTATGGTGTATGTATACTACACAGCCAAATACTCTCAGGGGAATGTCTGAGACTAAGGGTGAACTGGGGTAGGTTGCAAGCAATTTTTGTATAGGGGTTTTGTAGTTTAGGACTCTTGAGGGCATTCTATTGATCAGGTAGGTTGCAGTGAGAAAAGCTTCTCCCCAGAATGAGTTTGGAACATTTCGGGCAATCATAATGGCTCGAGTTATTTCTAGGAGGTGTCGGTTTTTCCTCTCAGCAATCCCATTTTGTTGGGGTGTGTAAGTACATGAGGTTTGATGGTGGATTCCCTGTTGATCAAGGAATTCCTTGAAGGCTGTACTAAGGTATTCTCGTCCATTGTCACTTCGTAGTATTCTAATTACCCCTTGAAACTGAGTTTTTATAAATGCGTGGAAGCTTTTGAAAACTCTAAGAATTTCAGATTTTTCTTTCATCAAGTATACCCAAGTCACTCGAGTGTGGTCATCAATAAAAGTCACAAACCACCTAGCATTAGAAGTTGATTTAATTCTTGTGGGTCCCCAAATGTCACTATGTATTAGGGTGAATGGTGATGTTGGTTTATAAGGTTGTTTAGGATAGGAAGTTCTTGTTTGTTTGGCAAGTTGACAGGTTTCACACAAAAGGGGGGCTGAATTCTTATTAAATAAGTCTGGAAACAAGTGCTTCATATAATCAAAATTGGGGTGGCCTAGCCTAGAGTGCCACAGTAATACATCTTTATTCAAGGAATCTGAACTAAATAACGCCTTGCTCACATATTTATCTGTGCCTTCAAGATAATAGAGTCCATCCCATTCCTTAGCAACGCCAATCCTCCTCTTCGCTGTCAAATCCTGAAAAACACAACCAACATCGTCAAAGATCACTCTACATTGATGACTCTTAGTTACTTTGCTTACTGAAAGCAAATTACATGCCAGTTCTGGAACAAATAAAACATTCTGCAGCTCTAATTTCTCAAGAATTTTGACAGTTCCAACACCACAGACTTTGGAAAATATTCCATTTGCAACTTTCACCTTTAGGTTCTCGTGGTGGCAGTACTTTAAGGTTTGGAATAAAGATTTGTTATCGGTCATATGATCTGTAGCTCCTGAGTCAACGATCCAAGTATTATCATTGGTCATTATGGCGTTTAGTGCTATGATAGAATTACCTGACTTTACCAGATTCGCCTTTGGAGTCACGGATGAGTTATTGTGTCTCTCAAAGATCCGTTTGAGTACTTGTAATTCTTCTCGGCTTAAGGTTTCTCCATTCTTCTCCTCATCAACTACTGCAGAATAGCTCTTGCTTTCAGGTCTTCTTCTTTGTTTCAGATTAGCCGGTTTGCCATGCAGCTTCCAGCATATGTCCCTAGTATGACCATTTTTGTTACAATGATCACACCAGCCTTTTGAATTCTTCTTTCCTCTTGGTTCAAGTACATTACTGCCTTGTACTGTCAAGGCAGAGTTTTCTGATGGTGTAAATATATTCTGAGTTGCTTCCTGCTCTCTTCACATTTTACCATGTTGAATGCTTCAAATAACGATGGCAGCGGCTTTAATCCCATGATTCTTCCTCTCACGTCTTCAAATGCATCTATAAGGCCGAGCAAAAATTCATAGGTCCTTTCTTTCTCAACTATTTTTCTGTATAATTGAGCATCACCACTGCAACTCCATTCATGGATATCAAACATATCCAGCTGCTGCCACAGGCGCGTAAGGGCAGTATAATACTGAGTTACAGTCATAGAACCCTGTTTTAGCTCTCTTTGTAGTCTCTTGATATGAAATAGTGCTGCAGTGTTGTCTATGGCAGAATAGGTTCTTCTTGCTGCGTCCCATATCTCCTTTGCTGTCTTAGCAAGTAGGTAGCCTTCACTAATCTCTACGGTCATCGAGTTACACAGCCAAGTCATTACAAGGTTGTTCTCAGCAAACCATGTATTATAATTACTGTCACCAGGTTTTAGCTGTGGGGCTTCTCCCGTGATGTATTCTTCCTTCCTTCTTCCTCTCAAATACATGAGAACACTTTGAGACCACTGTAAGTAATTGCTTCCATTCAGTTTATGGGCAATTATCATTTGTTGTGTCTTAGCAAAAGATACTGGCTCTGTTCCCATCGGTGATGATGTAGACGAAGAGGAAGCAGATTGTTGTGGTATTATACCTACTGTAAGAGCCGAGGGTGGCGCGTTTGGGTTTCCTCCGGATCGTCTCATTAATCCGAACAAGGGTGGAAGTTCCTCAAGTGTCATCGTCGTCTGTGTCCGACTCGTGTAACTGGTTCCTCAAGTCACGACTCGTGTAACCGGTTCCTGGGTGCGTCGAGAAGCAGTAGTTAGTGTACGTTGCCGAGTACCTTTGGTCGCGAGGAGGTTTCAGGTCGCTGGCACACGTCTCTGAATCGCCGAGTACCTCTGGTCGCAAGGAGGCTCCTGGTCGCAAGTTCACGTCTCCGAGTCGTCGAGTATCTCTGGTCGTAGGTTCACGTCTCCGAGTTGCCGAGTACCTCTGGTCGCAAGTTTTTCGTCTCCAAGTCGCCGAATATCTCTGGTCGCAAGGAGGCTTCATGTGACTTTAACAGATCGTGATGAACAGGGCCGAATTCGCACCCGCTCTGATACCATGAAGTTAATAGAACAATTCTGTATATCTTATATTATTGAATGAGAAGGAATACATCATATATATATAACCGAACAAGGAAGACTAAAGATAAGATACTGTTATCTATCCCTATCTAATCTAAGACGGAAAGATAAATGAGTAACTGAAAAAAACTACTTAATAAGTAAAACTAAGTTTATTTGGCTTGGGCCTTGGGCTTTGTCTTTCAACAAAAACCAATAAGAAAAGGAACCATGTGACAGGTAAAATAAGAACTTCCAAAATGAAAAGCCTTCCAAACATTCTTTGTTGCTTACCTGTCTTATGTGGCATGGCTAATCACACGCTTCTCAATGAGAGTTTCAATGTAGAAGCCCCCTTCCCCAGAATCAGCATTGAATTTTCTTTCCGTAAAACCAAGTTCCACTACACACACAAACACTAACAACTAAAATAAGAAAGTACGAGTGTCTGTTCCAAGAAACAGAGAGGCAGCTATCTCGGCAGCTCAGCCAAGTTCCAGCAAGGCCAAACCAGATATCTACAAAAGTTAACTTCCTCCGATTTCCGTAAACATGTTCTTTTCGGGGCGGGGAATGACTCCATTAAAAAGGCTCATTTAGGCAATATCAATGCAGCAAATGTCAAGTTTCTATAAGCATCTGTTAATAAAGTTCACTCAGTACTGATGCATATTTTCTGTTGTCACCAGGAAGAAGGAAGAACCGAGAGCTCATGTTCTTATTTCCTGTCTTCAACCACTAAGTACAACGGGTATACATAGGCACAGTAGGTGACCTTTTAACATTGCGGTAAAAATGACTACTTCCTCAATTAGTCATTACTTGCATTAACTTGGATACAAAAGTATGCGTACAACCATTGAACTTAAACATGTAGAACACTTATCACTATTTGCAACATAAACATAAAGTGTGTTACTTGCCAGATGTATGCTATACTTGACACATTCAAAGCTTGGCAAAAGTTGGCTTCCGTTTCTGGATGTGTGCCAACACTGCTTCATGCAAATCATTGGATAGCAGAGTTGCAGCGTTTCTAGTAGCAACATAATCCAACCCTTGCTCCACGGTTAAGTCCCTACTTTTGAGTAACACAGCTTTTGTCCCAATGACTGCAAGGGAAGACTTTGCAGCGATTGCTGTCAAGTGTCAAATTATGGTGTCAGAACAATGGCATCTTGATGCTGTGGAAGAACAAGAGAAGTAAAGGAAAGGAAGCAATGAAGTGAATGAGAAGAATTAAGCAAGGAATTCAGCCCTGCTCATCTAATTCAGAGTGGATTTGTTGTCATTTCTAAGTATAATGACCAAATTAAAGTTTCAAGTAACCATACTTTACCAGTCCTAGCGAGACTCATCTTGCACTTACGTGGAAGATGCAAAATAGGAATCATCACTCTAAAAGCAACATGAAAAAATATAGTTACAAGGAAAAATAGACTTATCAGAACTAAATGAATGAAATGCCTCTAAGATTTATCTTAGGACCCACTCTAGTTTTGTGTCAACCAACCTAGAGGTTCTCCAATGAACAACTTGGGCAATAGCCTATCCAGTTACACATGTAAACAGAGAGCCATATCTGGAATGGACAATGGAACTCCAGCACAATACACTCTAAATAACGATCAATATATCATATAAAAATTTATAGAAGACCATATTATATTCATAAAACGTGAACAGTGTGGTTCACCTTCACCCTAGACTCCACAAGAAGATGTGTCTAGTTATCCCCACTAAAACCTTACATGCCTTCCGTCTTTTCCAAAAGAATGGGGCTAGTAGTCCTTTGGGGACTGTTGGAGGAAGTTTGGGCCTACCGCCAACTTCTTGGGCCTATTGCCTTGTGACCTATTTTTCCTTTTGTCTGTGAGATTGGGATCCCTAAGCTCATGGGATTTATTTTCGCTTGTAATCTGTCTTTATTATTTCCGAGATTCTAGGAACTACCTAAGTGATAGAATCAAATCTGATTTTATCCTCTTTTCTCCCTATATATGTAACTCTCTATTCTCAATAATAATACGCATGAGCTGTTACCACATAAAAATTACAGGGACATCCAATACAATTGGAATAAGGGAATATTAGCATGGCCCGTACACAAGGATGACATATAACAATCGAAAATGAATAAGGCTAGCAATGTAAAAGATTATTATTATTATTATTATCTCCAATTTAAATGACATTTCCACTACTCATCTAGCAAATCCTGCGCATAAAAAGGGATGCAAGCAACACCAATAATTCTGACAGTATATTTGGTTAACTTGAATCTATTACTATAGAAAAACTAAAAGCAAAATAGCCCACCACAATTGGTCTCATGGATGCTAGTGAATACTTCACGGATAAATGATAGGTCACATTGGAATGAAAAATAACTGATATAATTAACTTTAAATTTACATTGGTGTTGGCGGAGTAACAGAAGAAGCGAAACCATTAGTCCAAGCTAGAGATGTCCTAAAACCAAGTCATTAAAATGAAATGTGTGTCCCGAAAAGTGCTATCAATTAAATAATTCTACTTTTACTAGACAAGAATCAAGTAAACAGTTTTGGACAGTTAAGAAGACGCGCGCTAAGGTGACTCACCCTCGGCGACATCCCACACAGCTTCATCCAATTCATGCTTAGAATCGAAAGCTCGAGAAACTAGACCAAGCTCCTTTGCTTCCAGACCCGAAAATCTCCTCGCTGTCAAAGCCAGCTCGATAGCATTACCGTACCCAACTATACTCGGCAACCTCTGCAAAGTTCCAAGATCGGACGTGATGGCCAAATCGACCTCTTTCACCGAAAAAAAGGCGTCCTTGGTGCAAAGCCTAATATCGCAGGCGGTAATAATGTCGACTCCGCCGCCGATGCAAGCGCCTTGTATGCTGGCAATCACGGGTTTCCGGCATCGTTCGATGGCGGTGATGGCATCCTGCAAGCCCAGGATGTGTCGTCGGAGTTTCTCCCCAGAGCGGCCGCGGTCACTGGATGAATGGTCCTTGAAGGTGGAACTAAGCGAGTTGAGGTCGATGCCGGAGCAAAAGTGGCCGCCCGCACCGGAAAGGACGATGACGTTGACTTGGGGGTTGTGATCGAGATAATGGAGAGCTTTGGGTAATTCGGTAAAGAAATCAGAGGAGAGAGCATTGCGTTGTGAAGGACGATTGAGGTAGAGGTAGAAGACGGAGGATTTTGGGTTGGGCTGTAAAATTTTCAGGGTTTTGCATTTCTCAATCTCCATTTTCGGTGGCACAACAGTGAACGATTGGAAATTTGGAATGGGAATTGACGAAAAATGGAGCCCTCAAGCTCCAATGAAGAAAATTGGGGCTCATGAGAAAAGATATCACCGACGCGCGCGCGTGAAAATTAATTGTTTTTTAATAGATGGCCGGCGGATTCAATTAAGGAAAAATCGCAATCAAAAACCCTTAAATTAACAAAATAGCGAAATGGGTATTTGAATAAGTTTAATTGCTTGGAAGGATCAGGTCTTAAATTACAATTAGCAAATCACACCTAAAAGACTAAAATGCCCCTCTGTTATTGAAAACTATTTATGAAGGTAGACACAAAAAATTCATGGGGGGAGTAAGAAGAGAAAGAAGGGATGACATGTTTTGCAGTTTCCAAGCCTGGGAATCAAGTGAGTAATATTTCTAACTGCAGTCTCCTTCGATTCTTCCATCTGAGACCAAGCACTGTGATATTGTTCTTCAAGTTTGTGAGTTCTATTATCATGCATTGGGTGTTATACTTTGGGAGGGAGTGAGAGCTGAAGTTGATGATGGAAAACGTTAATTGGAGGAGGTTGTGATTAGTTTAAGGTGAGATATTTTTATTTTTCTAATCTGATTGTTCATGTATGATTTTTGTGGGTTTGATTGTGATAGAGAGGGGTTATGACATGAGGAATGGCAAAGTGTGAAAGGGAAAATGAAAGGAGGTAATGGTTGTTAATTTAAGTGTAAAGTTTCAGGTGCTATAGTGAAGGGAGTGAATCAGAATATTGTCATTTTGAATGCTCAAGTTATAAAATTCTAATGTCAACTTTGGTAATCGAAGAGGCTATTAGGTTTAATTTTCTTATGTAAATGATTGAGCTGATGGAATAAAATTATATTGAATTCAAATTCTTGATTTTCCTATCTTTTGCTGGTAGCTTCATAGTATTTTTCAAACTTTATTTTCTACCAATTTCTCAAATTCAAATGGCTAACTGCAAAAATTGGTTGCCATCAAAGCCTCTCTGGTTTTTTGTTATTTGATTTACTATTATTGTAATTTTGCCTAATAGTATTGTAATTATAGACTTGTCATTTTGATGACAGCAACATGAGGATTTGGAAATATTGGTTTTTTGTTTATTGGCAGAACAATGTTGATGTTTTGTATTTAATAGTTCTAAATAGTAATAAGATAGATTTATGGAATATTCTAAAGTTAATAAAAAACCTAGTGTCAAACTTGTAATTTTGCTTATTAAACTTGTTATTTGGCTTACGTTTTTTGTCATTTGACTTACCATTCTTGTTATTTGACAATGAAATATTGTTAAGACCTATAAGCTGTTGCTGACTTATC